TAGCGTCCTTGCTCCTAGTAGCGATGCCAGGAGCCCCTAGTAGCGTCTTTGTTACTAGTAGCTCGGCGCCTGGATCCAGGTCACCGATCAGCTGCGGTTGATGTCTGCGTCGATGGAAGAGGCGGGGTTGTCACGAAAGGCACCGTTGTGTTGGAGGATCTGTTGGAGTCCTTTACACTCACTGAAATAGTCATGGAAGTGGAAAATAACTTGGGAAAACCAATGAACATTACCTGTTTGTAGGAAATTGGCCATCCAACGGCCATTTTCTACTTCCATGATCCAAGTGTAGTTTTAATTTGCCTTGACCATCTGATTTGACATGATCAACCGATTCTAACATAGTCGAACTATGTCGAACTCTACTGTAGAATTTGTCCTATTGTTGACCTATACCATGTCCCCATTTTTAGATATGTTTGAGATGTTCGAGTATGGAAGCTGGTGAGTGACGATTGAATCATCCAGCTTCAAATTTTCGTGACGTCCGTTTCGACAGAGAGGCGTACTATACTATACTGTACAAGTAAAGTTATTAATTGTAACTCATTTTACTCTCCAATGAGAGGTGCCATGTGACATGTGCCACGTGACATCCTGCTCTCAGGTGCAATCCCATGAGCCGATGCAGCAGGCTGTCCAGAGACGCCTGGCTCGACAAAGGCAACGGGTTGCTTGGCTGACGCGTTGTCACAACGGATCCGTGAGAGAGTCGGAGTCGGTTTTTGAGGCCGTTTGGAGTCGGAGGCCTGGTGATTCCATGAATCTCGAAGATTCCACAAATACCTATTGTTTGGGGCTCTTCTTTGTATGTGCCCCCAGTGCGGAAGGAGTTGGAGTGTTCTCCAGTAGCTCTTTGGAACGACATGAAGATGTTGCAGTGCAAAACCTCCGAAGTCCTTAAACTCCCAACTGAGATGCAGCTGCCTTCCTTCAACTCCCATCCACTGTCAGGTTTCTGGCGCTGCTCAGCGAGATGGTGAGACGGTGGGATGACCTCGAGCCGACAGGGTCTGGCCATGTTTTCAGCTCCAACTTCTCAAGCCGATCAGATCTATATATATAAATTAATGTAGAATATCCCTGATTGGTGCTCAGAATTGAATGGTGGGAGCTCGAGCTCCTTTCTTTTCCAGCAATTTTCAAAAGGGCGTCTTAAAATGTTACCACCTCACTGTGATTTTGGGAGCTCCAACGTTGGTCCCTGGTAAGTTTAAAACAAGGCTGGAGGTCGGCAACTACTGATTGTCGCATATTGTAGCTATATTCGATCTAGGCATCCCCAACCACAACCCTTGAGCTGTCAATTAGACAAACCAATGGAGCATATGTTAGGCCAAACGGCCAAGAGAAAATCTTCTATACTATACCTTTTGCTTGTCTTGTTGGGGTTGGCTACCCACCCCTCGATGGGATAGCATAGATGGAACACAGACATGAAATGGATGTGTTTTGACTTAGGTCTTAAAAATACTGTCCCAGGGTCCCAGCAGTTGGTTGGTTTAGAAAGAGAAAGAGAGAAAGAGAGAGGGAGTGTAGATAAAGCATTTTGAGCAGGTCGGGGTCACAAGTCTTTTTTTTGTGGAGGGGCCAAGGTTGAGCGGAGTTAGACATCCACAGACGTTGGGTTTGCTGGGTGCTGACGGTCTTCTCACAATGTACAATATGCCCCGGACGTTGGCGTTTATCCATTTGGTGGCGCTCAGACTCTGAAGTTGCTTGTCCGTTTTCAACCCTTACAGTGACCATGGAACTGGGATTCTACAATGATCTACCAGCAGTTTTTTTGTGGTAGAAGGAGCTTTTAAGTTTCTGCCCAAAGTCAAACCGAAATCAGGAAAGCCTGCAAATGGAGATGTCAGGGACCATGATGAACGACGAACTGTCGAAGTGCCTCGTCTGCCCGGCTTTTGATAAATGTGGCCTTCGGTTTGTCTGAAAGCCCGTGAGACTGAGACGTTCCTTTGTGGGGAATGCTGCCGGAGAATTGGAAAGGTTGAACAACGATTCTGCACTTTGCATGTCATTCTTTTCAAAGTTCTTTGGGAGATCTTTTCTCCAGATCAAATGAAACAGTGCCCCCCAAAAGAACTGTGTGCTCTATAGATCCACGGCTTTGACAAGAAACTTTGGGTCCAAGATGGTCCGCCAGCGTTCAGGTTCCGGTTTTTGTGAGTCAACGATTGGCTGCTGAGGACGAGCGTGTCAGCTCCGCACTTGCCGAGTCACCAGGTGTGTGACAAGAGACGAGTCGAAGATAGTCAGATAGTCCAGGAAGGGCTCGGTTTGCGAGATCTGTTTCTCGGAGTTTGTTTTTGCTCCGCGGTCTTTGTCCTTTGTTTTTGGATGTTTTTGGATACTAAAGGATTTCAGACGTTTTGAAGTTAAAGCATGTTGTTTGTACTCTGGAGTTGACACAGTCTCTCTCATGAGCCACAAACACTTTTGGCCAGTCCCGCAGCCAGGCCGTCACGGCTCTCTCTGGCAGCTTGGAGCTGTGGTTCAGTTTGGCTACACTACCCTCCCCAAGCGATGACACTTCCATAGGTCCATAGATCCATCTAAACTGCTTTTTGAGGCCACTCAGGTCCAAAGTGAGCTTCAGGATTCCAAAGTTGTGCTGATCGCCTCATGTCGCTCGCTGTGCGAGCCTCGCACCGCCCCGGCTGCAGTGCTTTGCCGGTCGTTCGTTGGTTCGGAGTCTTCAGGGGCTCCCGAAGACGTCCGACCGTCGATGTCCGCCATCGCCGGTGAAACCGCCGTCAGGTCGAGGCCTCATGCTGGAGTGTTGGAAGAGGTGCGCCTCATCCAGCCGTGCGGTGGCATCGACTCATGCGTTAGGTACTGTAGAGTCGGTGTCCTGTACCCGTTAGAGCCGTGGTTAGGGGGTGTTGTGTCGGTCGGTGGAGTGATAGTGCTTGTGTCCATCTACCATCATCTATCACAATCTTCAGGTGTTTCGAATGGGCACGGTAGCTCTTCCGGTACGATACAGTCAGTTATCTGATGACAAAGATGCTGAACAAAAACACACATGGACTCTACACATGGACGCTGTGAGTCCATGATCTGGAGCACGTTGAGGTCCCAACAAAATGGACTCGTTTGTGGTTCCATCTTGATACTTTTGAGGTGCTTATGAGACTATGGATGCTTTGTATTTTATAAATGGTATTAACCCACAGTTGGCAACGGAAGAGACGTTGCCGTGTCCGTTTCGGCCGTTCGCTGCCAGGTCTGTTCAGCGGCAGCGCCTGGACATCCGCAGTATGGTCAATCCAAGCTTCGCTCGGTTGTGAGAAGGTAGCATTCTTGCTACGAAGCAGCTCCTGACATTACTAGGAACAAGAAGCTACTAGTAACAAGGGCGTTACTAGTAGCAAGATGTAGCAAGAAGCTACTAGTAGTTAAGGGCATTACTATATGGTGGCCTAGGAAATTTGTAGCTTGTGCGTACCTGGCGGGACAAAGAGGGGTCAACGGTTGAACTACGTGGATGCATGTGTTTGATTTTAAAGTTGTTCGTGTGGTGTAGTTGCAAAATGCGGCTTGACAAGCACCTCAATCGGAGGGCGGCTTGATTGCAAGCCACAAGTAGAAGGACTCACTTCAGTAGAGACAAAGTTTCTCAGCGAGGAGTTTTGAGTCTACTTCGACACGGTCCACAAAGCATTGCTGCATTTGAGACCGTTTAGTCTCTTCTGCGAAGGAAGCAGAGGTCAGGATTGGTGAATGTGCTATTGGTGCTGGTCTTTCTTCGACGTCATGCAAGTGAAGTGCCATGTACATAGGATGCTTCTGGAAGGAAGTGCCTGGGCCTAGGCGGCAATGGTTCAGACAAAAACAACACTGCTGCTTTCTTTGATGTACACATTGTGCAGCGCAATCGCGTACCATCCGATGCAAAGCCGTACACAAATGTGTTCTCCCGGCACGGATTGTGTACATGTGAAGGGAAGGCACTTCTGTTTCCTGAAGGCTCAAGCTGCTCAAGCCGCTTTGCCTGAGGCAGACGGCATGGGGCTTTCAAATCCTTGACAGGTCATCAAGAGAAAAGGGGGTGGCTGGAGGCTTGGACGCTTGGAGGTTTCGACCCTTTCTCCCTTCCTGTGAACAACCTTTCTGCCCTGGCTGATGTTTCAGGAATGGAGCTGGAACCCATGGACTCTTGCTGGAAGACCACTTGGCCAAGCATGCACAAGATGGCCCTTCTATCAAAATAGGTGCCAGAGGGGTTCTAGGTGGATACTGGAAGAGACCTCGCTCTCAGTGTATGTTTGATGTGACATTATTGATTCTGAGGTGTTGCTTCTACACCAAGCAGCGAGAAGAGGACAACCTGTCATCCAAACATATCCAAACCATTTGTATAGACGCATTGAGCATATAGATGTTGGCCACAGACACATAATTGCACAGCAGAAGAGGAAACACCGTAACGCCGTCGTTCATTTGTTTCTATATAGTTGTTTCTTGATCTTCATGATCACGTGGAAGGTAATCGAGGGATCGAGGGCCGCAATAGTTGCCAAAAAGAGCTTTGCATAAGCATACCTCGGGGAGTGCTTAGGCGTGGTTTTGTGTTTGCCCCCCCCCCTTGTGACTTTCCAGAGAATTCCTGAAACTATTTCCAGTATGGGCTGAAACCATATATTTGCCTGTCGGCCATTTCTGCAAAATCCGACCGGACACGCCCATTTCGACATGAAGGTGTGGGTCGAAAAATCGGTCCGAAAACGCTGTTCACCCGGTGCACGGGTCGGGTGAACCCGCGGTGAAGGACCCCTCTGCAGATCTTAATAGTAGGTTGGAGGCCATCTGGATTCTGGGTTGGAGGCCATTGCTAATAGGTTGATGTCGATCGCCATGCTGACGCGCATGCCGATTACTTCTGTGCGTAGCATGCTATGCGTAGGCCAACCCTGGAACTTCCGCCAGGACGAACCGAGTGAGATGCCAGTTCTTCCGAACCGATTAGAGCCTTGCCCGCAGGTGGATGCATTGGACAAACAAGGCAGAGGAGCAAACAATGTAAGCAGGGTTGTTGTAGGCCGTGTAGGTTCATGTATGTTCCATATGTTCCATGCCTTGATACTTGTCAAGTGGCATCGTTTTGAAGGAGCCCGCAAGCTTTCCCCTTTTCCTGCTTTACAACTGACCCACAGACCCACAACATCCCACAGCCATGCTGCAGCTTTCGGTTTTACTTTCGTGCAGTCTAAGGAACGAATACGGCCGACGCCTCAGACGTCTTCAGCTGTGCGTCCTGAAGCGTCGCCGCAACTCGATAACAACGATCTCCGCAGACTCGGACAGACGGTCGCATGGCACCGCATAGCAATCATCAACTGAGTTGACCGCAATCCTAGCACCGGTTCAAGAGTTCTGTAAGTTGGCATCAATTCTTGAGCGGCCTTACTCTTGTGGTTGGTTGTTTTTTTTGTCGTGAAGCTGAGGCCCTCAAAGAAGGCAGGGCACCGAAGTCTTGCTGCTGTGACACGCTCACCAACATCTTCCAACTCCCGCTGTCAACTCGACCCGATCCTATACATATCTTAAGTCGTGGCACCAGTCCAAACATGTCCAAGCCTTTGCCGCAAGACATGTTTCATCCATCAAATCTCTCAAGATTGGGGATGGATCCGCATTTCACATCAGCTCCCCAACTTCTCTTTTCTTGAAGCTTGTCAGGCCCACTTCTCACATCCTCTCATGTGTCTTTTCTGTGAAGGGATCGACCTCAAAGCCGCGTGGTCTTCGCGGGATCGGTCGGGATCTCGGACTCCGGATGACCCGAAGAGTACAGCAGCGCCAGGAAGCAGCTGGCTCTGGGGGGTTCGGGGTCCCCAGAGCATCCCACAGTCGGGGTGGGGGATGGTGAGTGTGCTGGACCCACCGCCCGCTGCAGTTGGGCATGCTGCCACCACCACGGTCTGTGGCGTTTGGGGATGTTGAAACACGTTTCGAAACGTGTTTTTTTCATGCGAATACGTTCCAAATCCTTCAAGCCCACCTCTGAAAGTAGCAGAGCTCTAAAGCTGCAGGGCTGAAGATTCCCTTAATGAAGAGTTAGGAGAATTCGTCTTGAACTCTGACCTTTGCTTGGCTTAGCCCAGCGGTTCTTTCGATCCCTGGCATGCATCAAACTTGCGTAGAGTTTCTTGTTCAGAGTGTTGGAGAAGGCAAGGGCTTTGATTGGAACATAGAACAGCTTCTGAGCTGACTCTGAATACTCGACTCGACACAAGCATGTAGTAGCCATCTCATGCCATCTCTGTCCTTAACTTCAACAGTCCGTTCTACGCCTTAGCTCATGCTGCCACCTCTTCCCCACATATTCTTAACAGCAGCCACATGCTTAGGAAATATGGACCATCTGAGAGCACACGTCTTGTCACATGAGGCGTTGACATGTGGAAAGCGCTTGCAACACACTAAGGATGCCAAATTCAAGTGAAGCTGGTCAGGCTGGCTGAAAGCTCTTTCGAGAGCGACGTGAAACATGTTTTTTTTTTCACTCTTTTTCACTCAATGGTCCAGCATGCGCCACAGTTCAACTGGTGCAGGACGTCACGTGCAGAGTTCAAGGATATCATAGTGTTTACTTTGAAAACCAATGAAAACCCATACATTGGAAGGGGCAAATCGGGATTCGATTGGGATAAGAACTCGTACGTCTCGCGTTTCACCACATTCTCGCTCGTCTCGTCTCGTGGCTCGAACTCATCTCGTGGCTCGAACTCGTCTCGTGGCTCGAACTCGTCTCGTGGCTC